GACCCTCGTAAATAATTTTCTCAAATACGTTACTAAGCGCTGGTAGTATAGATATTGGTCTGAAATTACTGGGATCCGACTTGTCGCCTGCCTTGAAAAGTGGGATTATTTAACCATATTTCATTAAATCAGGAAAAGTTCCTTCATCAATGCATTTATTAAAAATAAAAGTTAATTGAGGCGCTATAGATGGTATTATAGATTTAATAAGTTGAAACGCCTTCGGTTGTTTTGACATTAATGGAATTGAATGTTTTAATAATTGAGTTAACGTTAACATGTCTAAAATAAGATTCAGTATTGCACTTATCAACAACTGACTCTAGATGAGTAACTGCAAGTCTAGAACATGAACTAAGATTTCTAGTGATTTCTATTGGTGTCTTAGAAAAGAATTTTTCAAGTGTATCGGCAACCGATTCATCTGTTTTAATTACTTTATTGTCAAGCTTTAATGAGTATGTGCGCATATTACATTTATTTTTCCCTTGATTTCTGATAGTCCAGGTTGTTTTTATTTTATTTTCTGAATTATAAATAATACAGATATATATTTTGCTTTTGCTGTAACACATACTTTCTTAAAAATGTTTGAATAATTTCTGACATATTCAATAAACTTTGTATCAGTCGAGGTACACTTTAGCCCATACAAATCATACAGCCTATTTCGACTTTTGTAGATGCCAGGTGTAGCCCAATCACTAAAGAACAAAGGTCAAAATGGATTACGAAAAAAAAAGTTCTTGTACCAAGATGGAACTATCACCAAAATGTAGTATAAGTTGAATGTAATTATTATATACCAACAATTTATTTTTAAAAGCTGGGAAAAGAAAGATAATCCTCTCTTAAATATCGGGTTGGCACAAAAGTAATGAGACACTTGGTTTAAGTTTTTACTTTTTTATTATTATTACAATAAAAAAAGTTTAGTCAATGATGTAATAACCATTAGTATCTAAGACTTCTTGCCAACGATCCGGCAAAGTTTGGATGCCTTTTGTCCAGAACTCTGATGGCTGTGCCTCGAAAAAGTTGTTCAACTCCGCCTCTACGTCAGAGAAATCATTAAATTGTTTACCCCGCAAATGCTGTTTCAGGGCTCTAAACAAATGATAGTCTGATGGGGCGAGGTCTGGGGAATAAGGTGGGTGGGAAATCGTCTCCCAGCCCAAGTTCTCCAACTGCCGGCGAACCACAGATGCGACGTGAGGTCGAGCGTTATCGTGCAGTAAAACTACATTGACTCGTCTTCGTCGTTTTTTCTTGATAGCGTCAGATAATTTGGTAAGCTGGGTTGAATATTTGTCAGCGTTTATAGTTTCATTGTGTAATAGCTCATAAAACAGTATGCCTTGCGCATCCCAGAAACAGCAAAGCAGAATTTTTCGGCGGTTCTTTTGACTCGGCTTCGGTTGAGTTGGTGGCGTTTCTTCTCGAGGCAGCCAAAAAGCACGACGTGTATCGTTCTCGTAATAAATCCATGATTCATCTCCAGTAACCAGATCTGACAAAAACTCTTTACGACGGGGTCGCAGCAAAAGTGACTGACAGATAGCGACACGGACTGCACGACTGGCGTCTATAAGAATGTGCGGAACCCACCGAGCCAAAACTTTTCGATAACCAAGCTCATGCTCAAGATGGTGTTCCACGGCGTGGTGACTGCATTTAAGTGCTTCCGCTAATTCACGAGTGGTAGCATCCGGATTCAACTGCAGTTCGCGGCGCAAATCGTCATCATTCACTGCGGATGGTCGCCCTGAGCGTGGCTGACTTTCAAGGCTCCTGTCGCCTGATTTAAAACGGTCAAACCATCAGTACACCGTCGCATGGCTTGTACTTCCAGCGCCTAATGCATTGTTGATATTGTCAGCCGCAGCCCGCGCACTGTGGCCTAACAAGTACTCGTATAAGTATAGTGTTCGAACTTGTCGCTCGTCCATTTTTCTTCAAACTGACTAAACAAATCGCGAGCGCGGCTTTATATACCCTACACCAGAAGTACCTAGAATGTTCTACAACATTCTAGAATATTATCGAAATAATTGATTTTAAAAAGGAAATGTTATAGATTTTTCTAGTGTGTCTCATTACTTTTGTGCCAACCCAATATGTCTTTATTTTTTAGAACGCAGTTTTAATTATGTTATTTTTGAACGCATCTTATTAATAATGTCATTCCTAGAGAAGTCCCTCTCTTTTCAAAGAACAAGATCGATTTTATTTCTGACTAATCGAATTTGTTACAAATCTTATATTATTTACTAACCAAATAAATCCGTGAAAATTATAAAACTTAGATTAGATTACTAATATAATTAGATGTTACTTAGAGGAAAATATCGGGTTGGCACAAAAGTAATGAGACACTTGGTTTAAGTTCTTACTTTTTTATTATTATTACAATAAAAAAAGTTTAGTCAATGATGTAATTACCATTAGTATCTAAGACTTCTTGCCAACGATCCGGCAAAGTTTGGATGCCTTTTGCCCAGAACTCTGATGGCTGTGCCTCGAAAAAGTTGTTCAACTCCGCCTCTACGTGTGAGAAAAATTATTAAATTGTTTACCCCGCAAATGCTGTTTCAGGGCTCTTAACAAATGATAGTCTGATGGGGCGAGGTCTGGGGAATAAGGTGGGTGGGGTATCGTCTCCCAGCCCAAGTTCTCCAACTGCCGGCGAACCACAGATGCGACGTGAGGTCGAGCGTTATCGTGCAGTAAAACTACATTGACTCGTCTTCGTCGTTTTTTCTTGATAGCGGCAGATAATTTGGTAAGCTGGGTTGAATATTTGTCAGCGTTTATAGTTTCATTGTGTAATAGCTCATAAAACAGTATGCCTTGCGCATCCCAGAAACAGCAAAGCAGAATTTTTCGGCGGTTCTTTTGACTCGGCTTCGGTTGAGTTGGTGGCGTTTCTTCTCGAGGCAGCCAAAAAGCACGACGTGTATCGTTCTCGTAATAAATCCATGATTCATCTCCAGTTACCAGATCTGACAAAAACTCTTTACGTCAGGGTCGCAGCAAAAGTGACTGACAGATAGCGACACGGACTGCACGACTGGTGTCTGTAAGGATGTGCGATACCCACCGAGCCAAAACTTTTCGATAACCAAGCTCATGCAGATGGTGTTCCACGGCGTGGTGAGTGCATTTAAGTGCTTCCGCTAATTCACGAGTGATAGCATCCGGATTCAATTGCAGTTCACGGCGCAAATCGTCATCATTCACTGCGGGTGGTCGCCCTGAGCGTGGCTGACTTTCAAGGCTCCTGTCTCCTGATTTAAAACGGTCAAACCATCGGGACACCGTCGCATGGCTTGTACTTCCAGCACCTAATGCATTGTTGATATTGTCAGCCGCAGCCCGCGCACTGTGGCCTAACAAGTACTCGTATAAGTATAGTGTTCGAACTTGTCGCTTGTCCATTTTTCTTCAAACTGACTAAACAAATCGCGAGCGCGGCTTTATATACCCTACACCAGAAGTACCTAGAATGTTCTACAACATTCTAGAATATTATTGAAGAAATTGATTTTAAAAAGGAAATGTTATAGATTTTTCTAGTGCCCAACCCAATAGTTTATTTATAATGAAATTAAAAACAAATGATTATTCATAAGAATCGATATTACAGTATTCAATCGATTGCGACCTTCCTTTTTTAGATAAATATGAGTAGACGTGTTTCTACGCAGACCTTTTTGTAACTTTAGCGGTGATTTTGTATTATCTCAAGACATTGTGAGGAAACAATATTATGTGTACATTTTAAAGAATAATGACACATCCGGGTTAGATGGCATAAGAGAACACTGCTGTAATTGTCTTATTGGGGTGCTGTGCTCATATAATGACCATAGTTTGGTATCTTGGATGGGCCAGACACGAACAGTATGTAGCTACTCCTGCAGCATTCCGTGATGAGGTATTCATTAGAGTTGTAATAAAGAAAAGAAAAATCAACATGTTGTTTTGCTATATCCTTTTGAAATTAGTATTTTCACTACTACTTTATATAAGTTATAGTGTAAAATAGAAAAGTAGGATTATTAAGAGCAATCTTAAAAATTCTAGTATTTTTTTGATGTTCATTGGTTCACAAAAAATTATTTTATTTCTTACAGTCAATAAAAATAATTTATCAGATATGGAGCAAGTTTGAAGTATCATGTGAAAGTATGCACTTCTAGGACTACGATTAGGCTTTATCTGACGTGTGCTTTAGATATTTCAACTGTAATACCTCTAACTCAAAATGCTACAGTTTAAATAATACGACATAACCTCAAAAACATATTACACAATTACTTGATACTCCCAGCTTTTAAAAATATATTTATTATCTTTCTTTGTTCTAGTTGCATAGGCAAACAAAATAACATATGTTTCATCAAGTTACGTTTTATTCGATTTTACTAGTCCAAGCATGTTAGGCAGATGGCCATTGTTCTTTCTTCTTTTGGTAACTATTGTTAGACTACGATACTCTTTATCGAATACAGAGGACAACAATCTTTATCGATTGTATTAGTGGAAGCACTATCTGTCAGTGGGTTGTCACTGTCACCTTTGAAGTTGACATTGACGGATGATGAGATAATTTTGGGCGGGAATAGAGTACAAAAGTTGTTGTGAAAAGTTTATGTAAAAGGAAACAGTTTTATAAAATATATGATAAATCAGTCAAAGTTGTGTTTTAATACTATATTTTATTGTTTTGAGTGTTTTGTCAAATTCTCCCTTTTTAAAGTTGAAAAAAGTAGTATAGACATCATTTATATTTCAAAAAATATCTGTGCTACAATAAATAACATAAATTCAGACGTCTATATTTATATATATTTTACGTACAATGAATAATTATCAATCAGTTCCTTTGCTCTCGAGATAATTTAAAAAAATATGGAAATAGTTGCCATCACAAAAAAAAAATGCTACTAATTTTTAGAGCAATTTTTATAGCTTTTCTTATATGGCAACAAAACATGTTTTTGATGTTTTCGTGAGATTGTTAGAGCATCGTGAAATTATTATTTTAGAGTAGAGTAAATAGTGGACACATTACTTTGTATGTTATTAGTGTAGTGTTGATGTGTTTAATGTAACCTCTAAAAAACTGCTTTCCAAGTGGAGCTGTTAAAGAGCCTTCTTGCCATGGCAGGCCCGTCCGACGGAGAGCCCGAAGGATGGGTCGAGTTCTGCGAGCGTCAGGCGAAAACCGCCGCTCAGGACTTCGCCAAGGCATGGTTGCAATATATTCACCCTGGAGTCAACGATCCTACTACCCGCCCACCCGTAACTAATAAGGAAATCGTCAAAAAATTCTGTGAAAGCTTTTCGGAACAATTCGAGTTTGAAGTAGTCAAACTAAAAACGTTAAACAAATTACCGAACGGCACGCATACAGGGCATGATGAAAGCGACTATTCGGAGGATATGGATTCGCCTAAAACTCAACACAAGCCGTTTTTCAGGAGGTTATCTTTTAAAGGCCTCAGGCGTGGGAAAGGCTTGTTTCACAAACAACATTCAGATGAAGTGGAACTATCATCAAATCTCAACAAACATAATAAAACTAAGCTAGCTAAGATAGTTGTAGAGTGTAGGAAAGAAGGTTTGGTAAACTATTTGACTCCAGAAAGCTTAGAACAACCTGGAGGCCCCCAAAAATGGGAGAGATGTAGACTGGCTTTAGTAAAGACTGTCGGTGGGTATATGTTAGAATTCTATTCACCTCCAAAAGCGCAGAAACCACGGAGTGGAGTGTTTTGTTTTTTGATATCTGAGGCGCGAGAGACTACTGCACTTGAGATGCCTGACCATGAAAATACTTTTGTATTGAAGGTATATATTTCTTCATTTGCATTTTTGATAATAATATTTTTACTGTTACATACAGAATTAAGAAATTTATTTTTGACTATCTGTTTTCCTGCAACTTTGCTTACCTAAATTATGTCACTTGCTTAAATCATGTAGACTTTTAAAAATAAATTGGGTAGCTACTGAGCATTTTCAATATAAACAAACAATCGAATTGTCTTTATAATATCAATATACTAGCTTTCCATCAGCGACTTCGCCCGCATAGTCTTGTATCATACATAAAAATCTTCCTTTTGAATATCTATGAAAAAAAACTACATCAAAATCTGTTGCGTAGTTACAAAGATTTAAGCATACATAAAGACATAGGGATATTTTATCTTTAATCAAATTTTTTTCTATTTAAAATGAAAGAATAAGCATAATAAAAAAAATACTGGTTGATAGGGCCCATGTGTAGAGTGCGGATGATTTTTGTGCTTATTTTCAGAAGGCGATCATTACCTACCATTAGTTCATCCACTACTGCAAACTCATTCACATTGGTTGAGAATGCCTGCATGCAGATTGTGGCAAACTCTGTGCATATTTGCATTAGTCAGATTTTGAGTGAAACTGAAAGAGTTTATCGGAAATGAAATAAGCCCATAGGAATCATTCACACTCTGCATCCAGCATGCATCCTATCAACAAATGTAAATATGCCATTATGAAAGTCAGTTGATACAAAAAACCAGTGAACCATTATTTTTTTTAATTAAAGAATTTTTAACAAAAACTTGTTAAAAGGAGACACATCAACAGTATACATTATAGTACATTAACAAAAACTGCAAATATTACTTTAGCATTCATACAACCAATATGAAAACAACAAAAACTATTTTGGATAGGTTCTAAGGTATTAAATTTTAATTTTAATAATTAAAATGTAATATTTCTACATAATCCTTGGTCATTTGGTGCAGGAGGCCAACTTGCACTTGCCGGTTTTTTATACAGATTGGTATCTAACCTAGATTAATACACATTAAAATAATATCTTTTTCTTTTGTAGGTTAGGATTTTGTCATTTTTTCTTATTATTATATAGACGTATAAAAATAAACTACAACAAATAAAAATATAAAATTATCATTACTAACTCATTACTAACTAATAAACAACACTAGAGCATTCAATGAGTAGAAAATAATAAGAGGTCTGCAAAGACTTCTTTATAATTTGTAGTGCAACAATCTCGAATTCAGTACTGTGACTTCACCGGCGAGTCTGAGAGGTTACAGATGTTTCATGTGAAAACACACAGTTTTAAATAATCTTTATAACTTGATAATTTATTATCGGATTTTGTTTTTGTTTTCTGACTTATTTTAGTTTTGACCCATATTTTTATTATATTGTGTTTAATATAATAATATTAACATCAAGAAACTTCCTCTTTAACAATAGATTGTATTGAATGTCTGTGCATTTTTTAATTGAATCCAATGTCAACCATATCAAAGTTTACGAAATAGACCTGCCTAATTGTAATTCTTATTACATTCTTAATTCTTCTTATAATGCCTAATTCTTATTAAATTTTATGAATGTCTCTAATTTTACAGGCAGATAATAATATGGAATATGTAATAGAAGCTGCAGATGTGGACGATATGAAGTCATGGTTGGCCACTATAAAGTACTGCATGCGATCGCCGCCTACTACACAGCCACCGCCAGATGCATTGCCAGGAATGCCAGAACCTGCACCACCTGACCTGCCACCAAGAAGAGATCTACCAACTAGTTCTAGCAATGTAGACTTAGCTACTGATACTCCTGAAGAGGCTGAATTAGGTAAATATTTTTATTCATAATGCTGCATGCAGACAATGGTCACAACATAATACAATGACGTCTTCCATAGAGCTATTTAAAATTGTAGAATACCTGTTTGTGAAAATAAATGAAGTTTTCAGAAATTCCAGTTGAAAAGAAATTCCATTTTGAATTTGAGTGGAAGTTGATACTTTAGACCCCATTTGCCATAATTATGCATGAATGCCAGATGTAATCATAATCCAGTTGTTTATTTATTATTCATATAAGCCAATTTTTGTGAAATGATAAGAAAAAATTAAAATTCACTTACATACTGAAACAGTTGCAAACTGTTATCAGAAGTGTGGGTTAGATTTTTTCGACTGATGTTTGTTTACTGTTACTGATGCGATGGTTTATCAGTTTTAATCTCAGGAGTATGTGGCTATACTACGTGTTTATTTTTTATCTGGTAAGAATGCTAGTACCATTGTACAGAGAACTCTATTCAGACACTCAAACCAAACTATTGAACAGTGATAAATACTTATCAGCGATTACTAGATCACGATTTGTTCTATGCGTCGCCAAGGAAGAGGAAGAACAACCTCTTCACAAAATCTGTATGATTATGTGTTGGCTTACTTTGAACAAGATTCCCGGCGAAGTACAAATGATGCTGCTCAATATTTTACCATCAGCCAGCACTGTGCATGGAAAATAGTTAAAGCAGCTGGATTGCAACCCTTTCACTATCGGAGGGTGCAAGAGTTGACTACTGTGGACTATGAGCCGAGCATTGTGTGATGCAGTTAGATACTGTCTAATACCGACGCGAACGTATCATACTCAGACGAGTGCTTATTTACGCGGGTTGGTTTATTTAATCTACACAATGAACAATGGTGGCCATACGCCATCCGATGTTAACACGGTAGAACTCATTCAAACACAGATTTCGATGGATCGGTCGAGGCGGTCTCGTGACGTGCCCTCCACGCTCGCCTGATCTTACGGCTATGGAGTTTTTGTGGTGTGAGATTAAACGACGATGTACATAAGTTAACCAGATACTTTGAATAGCATTTAAATATGTGTAAGATTTTAAATTTCTTAAATAGGTAGGTAAATTATTGTGCTACTCGCACGAATTAACATGACAAATTTATGTTATGAATGGGTTACAAATTACGCCAAGAAATAGAGCAAAATTTGGAATATAAACAAATGTTAATAACTAAGTTGTTTATAAATATTATTAAAATTAGATAACATTTTTTATAAAAAAGCCTTCCTTAATGAGGAAGTATTAAAAAAAACGAAAGCACTAAAAAGCTTCTCCACTAGATGGCGACTCTAGCAAAAGTTGATTTTTGCAGGAAACAAATGGACCAAAGACAGTCATTTCCGTTGCTTTTAACTAACATATTAAAAAACTGAGATTTGAATGGTCCAAACTTAGATATCAATACAAATACGAAAAAGTACAAAAAGAATATGAGTTGTTTATTAGGTTTTCAAAACTAATTTGTTTTTATGCATGAAAGAAAACCGGAAAGGTTGTAATGGAGAAATCAAGAACGTACCGTAGCGACATCTAGTTTGATTTCGGGATCTAAGTTTTTTAATACTTAAAAGTAAAAATATAATACTAAATTTTAAAATCACCACCTACATGTTTACAACATTCACATATTTTAATTACCTTGTTTGGTGGCATATACTTGGATTTGTTTTTGCAATTATAGTAAAATGATATGTTTAAACTATTACTTAATTACATTATAGATTCTTTAGTGCTACTTTAAGTTACTAATAATTTCCCCTGTGTAACAAAAAAATAGAAAAGATTATTTTGTGCAATTAACTCTGTATAATTCATTTATGTGTATTTTCAGTATCACTATAATTGTAAGAATGCCAAAATGGTCTGTATTTAATAAACATGTTATATAAACAAGTGCGGGTCTAGACTCATTCATGAAAAACGGGAAAATATCACGTCTGATGCATAGAACTCTTATATATTTTAGAAATTTTCAACTGTCTAGCTATCACGATTCATGAAAAACCTACAGCCTGGTGAGGCGTATGGACAGTCTGCTGTCTTAGTAATAGGGTCCCGTTTTTACCCTTTGGGTGCGGTACCCTAAAAAAGGTAATTCCCAAACCCAAACCTATAAAATGATAATTCTAGAGTTTAGTCACTAATCATTATTATATTTATTTGAAATATCGTTTAATTAACAATTAATATTAATTAATAGGCTCCATAGCGGAAGAGGGATGCGAGTCGTCCCGTATTTCGTTAGCGGAATGGCCATGGTTCCATGGCACGTTGGCCCGTTCCGCGGCAGCCGCGTGCGTGCTCGCGGGCGGGGCGTCCGCGCACGGCTGCTACCTCGTGCGGCAGAGCGAGACAAGGAGGGGGGAGTATGTGCTCACATTTAATTTCCAGGTAATTATGTTATTTTTTATTTATTTATTTTTTGGAGTAGCTCGGTGGCGTAGTGGATAAGCGCCGCGGCCCGCGATCGTTGTCGTTAAGCAACTTTCGCAAGGGTCGGTCACGGGATGGGTGACCAAAAAATTATTATCTCGAGCTACTCCGTGCTTCGGAAGCACGTTAAGCCGTTGGTCCCGGCTGCATTTGCAGTCCTTAATACCCTCCAATCCGCATTAGGCCAGCGTGGAGGGTCATTGCCCATCCATAAGGAAGGCCTGAGCCCCTGTAGTGGCGACGTAAAAGGGTTGATGATGATGTTATTTTAAAACTTCCATAATGATCATTTTTAATAGCAATGCGCCGAACAGTGGTTCCACCGAATAACTAAATACCGAATAGTATTCGGTTTAACCTTTACCGTACCGGATATTTGACCGGATTATTTGGATAATAGCGAACAATTATTTCGAATGTAGGGAACCTATATGAAGAAGAACTCAATCGATTCTTGCTGGAAAGAGCTGAGCCGATAATTTATCATTAATTAATTATAAATATTTGAAAATTTATATTTGCTTATATTCTATTTTATTTTTGATCTATATTATATTTTTACAGTGACTATAGTTTAGAAAATTTAAATTAATGATTTGAAGTTTAATAGCTTTATTTTATTAGCTAAAGCTAAATCTAACACATTTTGTCATAGCATCGTAAATTGCAAGTCAATAGTGATTGTTTACATAAAAGCTACTATTTCCAATATATTTTTATTATTTACTGTATAACTGTTATGTAGTAAAAATTTGACAATAAAATTATTTGGACTAGGGTCGAGCGAAACATCTACGTATGACCCTCAGCGAGTCCGGCCAGTGTCGGGTGCAACATCTGTGGTTTCCGAACGTTCACGACATGCTGGAACATTTCCGAGCGAACCCGATACCGCTGGAGTCGGGCGGGGCCGCTGACGTCACCCTCACCGAATACGTCGTGTGCCAAGACGGAACCAGGCAACAAGTGAGCCTAGCTACGGTTGCGTAGATAGATCTAATTCATTCTCGATTGTTTTTTAGTATTGTTCGTGTGCGTAGATGGCGATGTTAGATATATAATTTTGAAATATTGGTTGATCCAATTTTTTACTAAAATTATACTATTTATGTTTTTTTTTAACTGTATTATTTCCCCTTCTCAATTTGATGCCGCCCTAAGGCACCTGTTTGTGTAGATGTAACATAGCCTTATTAAAAGTACACAAACGGTAGGAACTACCACGAAACTACTACTAGTTTAATCATTTGGTTATTTACTTTTAGGAAAAAATTAAGAGAGTGTCTGTCTGTAATATCATGCCTCTGTCTCGACGGGGTAAGCGGAAACCCATCTCCGTTTTGCACAATCCTGACATATCTTTAACGCTTCTTCCACTCGCATCAACCCTTTGAAGAAAGTTGGTTTCAGATATTTTTGGCCTGAATTTTCTTTAATATGAAAAATTTTGTCGTAGTGCAATCGTCTTAAGTCTTCCTCAAGTATTACCTGTCGTACTCAAAGTTAAGAAAGTACTTTAAAAATAGGAAATAATTGTGTTTATATGTTGATTTTGTATATTGAAAGAACAATCGAGAATGAAATTTATGTAAATTAGCAATTTCTGTATGTACTTTTGTATTTATTGCTCAAATTTCACTTTGTACATTTTGTACTAGTGTCCGCCAATTATAATTTTATTGGTTACGGTGTCCGAAATAAGTAATTGTGAATACAAACATGAATCAATTTGTTTATCTAAGAGCTTAAGGTATAAAAAATCATACTTTATATTACTTTATTAATTTAAATAAAGTTTAGAAACCTATACCAGAGATTACAGAGAGGCATTTAATATCAATTCCCACCGAAAGCGAGTTTGGAGTTTTGGCAGACATTATAACTATGGCTGAAATCTACTTTCCTAAGTACAATGTAAAAAAATTACGTAATATTTTACCAAATATCGATGTCACCTTGGGCCTTAGTAAAAAAGAGGCCGAAATTTATACCGATATTCAATTATTATTTGGCAAACATTTGTAGATCCTTAGGATATCTTTAGAGGTATGTTTAGTAGCGAAAGAGTACTCATACATTGTGTCATATTAGTTTTTATGTGACGCTTACGGTTCATTACGTTATAACGTCATAATGGTGTGTTTCTGTCTTTGTCTTATCGATATTAGAAATACAATTTTCTTAGTAACTTACAGAAATATTTTATTTTTTCTAAATCGATAGCATCAGAATCACCTCTATTCAATCAAATATTAAACCATTGACATAGACTTTGACCGAAAAAATTGAACTTCCCGCTTAACGTGTGATTGTGTCTACATCTGTCTGAAATCGATATTTGGTCGAACATTATGTTGCATCGCTGTGTAAATATTGTAATATATACTAAAATAACATCAAAATTAACTCTTGCCTGGGACAAGTAAAAGAGAACAGCAATCTGACTTCTACTTTAAGTAGATGTCTGGCATGTTAAACGTTGCTGTTTTTTTTTTTTTTCTAAAAACGTTTTGACATTTATTTGATAATTATGTAGGTTTATGTGAATGTCACTACTGTTAAAAGCAGATAAGTATCTTCTATTCTATTTTTTCAATCGAAAGTTGACTCGAAGTCTTAAAAATATAGTAATTTCTTCACCAAGTGAGGTAAGGTATTGGTTACTCAATGAGTGCACGGTTAAGTAATCTTTACTTACTCGCGACGGATGTATATTACTTTAAGTCGCGGCCACACATTGGATTCAACTTTGCATACATGCTTGGAACTAATTTGAAAAAATTAAAGATTGTTGTAACCGCTCTTTTTTTTAAGTTTTAGTTATTTTCTTAGGCAGTGCATACACCAGTGCTCTTTCCCCCTTTTGTAATTTTTTCAGCATTTACTGATCAATATTGTACCAAATTGCTACACCAATACCACACATTGGCTTGAATACCAACTTTGTAGCCAAACACTTATAAATATAAATAGTTAAGCCTTAATACTCCATTGGCATAAGGCCAACGTGTAGCCGCGGCTTCATACAATAAGCTTCAACTAATACGGCGAATAGTGAATCTTTATTAGTGAATCTTTAGGTAGAGCAGACCGATGATGACCAAACGTACGATTAAAGCGTATAGAGAATCTTATTTCAACAATCATAAGGTGTAATATACATGTTAGGTGTTGGTCTCACTCACACCTCACCAGCCCTGCAATCCTAACCCGAATTAGAATTCACACAGACGTCAGAATTCACTTCAAAAAGCGGCATCCGCTCAATTTTGAATTGGTATAACGATTCGTGCCATAAATGAAATGAGTTTCGAAATGATATAGGAATAAAACATTTGAGAGACGTATAATCAATTTTGTTTTGTATTTTTATACAAAAAATTCGGACACATGAGTGAATTCTAATTCTGGTTCGAATTTTTACAGAATCGCTCTCCTGGTGGCGTGATACTTGAATCATTCCGATTGGTTGAAATTTTCCACGCTTCGAAATTTAGCTTTCTGCGCAGGTACATCAATGTGCCACATCAGTTGTACATTACTGTACCACATTACGTTAAATTTGGACACCAAACGAGAAAAACTGTGCTCGTGGATATATTTATTAAAGCTTTCGCAGAGAAAAGTAATACTGGAAATAATGTTATTGTTTTTAAAGTGCGAGTAATGGGAAACATTTGCTCCTATTAATACACTACATTAGTGATGATGAGCCTACACAGTGAGTGTAAGATAAAGAATGTTATTTCCATACAACGGTTCCTAAGAACCGACGCGAATAAATCATCAGTACATCATGAAAATTGGCACGCTTTAATTGTAGACTATATAGTAGTGGTTATTGCATTTTTGTTGTTTGGCTCAAAACTGTTTTGCATGTAACTACTGGTATATTAGTTGAGACATGACTGTCTAATCGATCACACAATAGGGTATCCAAGCTGTTTCAAAAGTATTCGTAAATGTTTATTTAAATTTTGATAAATCGAAAAAATCGACTTCAAATTTACACTAATTAACACATGCCAAAAACTCTGGCCGCCATAATCGTGACGTCATCTTGGTATGTAAGCAAAATTATAAGACATAAACAGTGCCATCTTCGATTTGTGCCAACGTATTTCGGGTCACGTGATACACAGTTAAAAAACTCGACTTTTCATTTTAATTTAATGAAGTAATCGTATGAATCTATGACTCATAATCGGGATGCCTATGTTTATTTTACCATTTTTTTTTGCCGAATTTCGTATCTATTTTTCACTACCGAATGTTTTGAAAAGAGCGAGTTATATATTTTTTTTTCTACTTTGATTTAGAATAGATACAAATTATATATTTTTTAAAGGTTTGTCATTTGGTGAATTACTTTTTTTTGTATATCAAATTGAAAGAGCTTTAATTTTTTTTGCACGGTTTTGAGTTTCTTTTTACGTTCTGTTATGGATTTTATATTTGTATCAATTATCAAATAGGTTTACATCACGTTGTCAGCGTACATCGGTGTGATATTTCTTGTACATTAAATGATAAATAAAATAGAACATACAATCTAGAAAAAATAATTAAAAAAAATGTTTACACGTACCTAAAAATAGTCATTTGTTTAAAAAAAATATTTGTGTCAAAATAGTTTTTAAATTGATTGTTAAAATAAAAGTACACGCCGAAATTAATTTTTTTCGTAATAATGCTATTATCTCGTGCATTGACTATATTGCAAATGAAATTTTAGTTGACTTGGTTAATTTATTCGATATAATTGTATGTAATCAATCATATTCATTGATGTATATTCATTCAATCATAGCATTTTGTATATTTTCATTACTATGTGAGTTCATTTATTAGTTTATAATAGTTTTTTGTAAATTTTTCGTCAGTGCAAACTTAGGGTAAGAATGGTAATCGTCAATAAGCCAATTGTCCGACCGCTAACGAGAAAGCGAATAAGGTCCTACGCAGCGTTAAGGGCTAACGCTGAATTGTTTTGAATTTCTGCACATCCGAGTGCGACGGTTATGATGTAAAAGGACAACGGCTTATAATTTTGATGATATTTCAAAATCAGATGATTGACGTTAACTATAGTTATTTTAAGTGGTGGAAAAGTGCCATCTATAATATTTTTTCTATATTAAAAATAAAATTTTCATATTAGACCCCCATGGTCCATAAGCCTAACAGTGAGTGAGCGGTGTGAGCAATGGTCCGTTGTATTACACTCACCCACTCGCTTATAGTCTAGCTATATATTAAATTTTGTAAGAAAATCTTATCTCATTATCGTAGAACCATGTTAATAATTACGTTAACAAGGGTGTTGGTGTGCGTAGTCCGGCGGATTGAGCTTGTTCATGCTTTTTCTTCTGGTTGTAGGTACTCGCCAACTTGTTCTTTCATTACATTAGTGGTCGGGCAACTGTCTTTAGACGAAATATATACACTTAACTTTCAACTAATCCCTATTATGGGATGCTATCACAAATTTGTATTGTGTATATATATATATATATATATATATTATTATTTTATAAATTACATTTGTAATTAAAGTTCAAATGTCCAAATGTTCGAGAATGTCCATTTTTGTATTTCTATTATTTTTGTAGAATGTTTTGTGTTTCAGATTATGTCATATGTAATAATAAATATTTGTTGTCATTAAGGTTCTTTTTTGTTAGTAAAATGTTGCGTAGTTAAAATCTGCATATCATAATTTAAATGAAATATTTATTTCTATTGAAAACCTAATTATTTTTTTTACCCCAAAAACATACAAAGATATTAATTTTAAGCTTCAATTCGCTATAATTATCAAGTATTTATTAAACCAGTAAAGTGGGTTATATACATCAGCTATTATTGATAGATCTGTTATGTAAAGAAAATAAATCATATGTACAAAGTAAAAAGAAATATAAAAATATAAGCTTTTTGTAAATTGGTTTGAGTTTAACATGTTTCCTGTCCTTGTTGCACTCGTATGACATTTACAGCTTATTACAGTTTCTATCTCGATTATGGTATATTTCTGTCTCTGTTTAATGGAGATTTTAAATTCATGTCTTAATGAATTATTGAAATATACATACTATTTTTTTATTTTTTTATTCTTGTATGTTCCTTTTACATTTTTCTTCTGTGATTTAGTATATGTGTTATGAAATGGAATAATGACTTAATTCGTGAAATATTTTTGTTTTGAAAAATATATTATTTATAGATAAAGTATTTCTCCCATTTTTTTTTTATAAAATTTCTATTAATTTATGTACTTTTTCATCAATGGCACGTGTTATGCAGCTTTCTGTCGCCAGATTGCAGCACTTGCATATGTAGTAAACAGTTTTTCATATACGTCAATCGTCATTTTAAAGAGTTATGAGCAAAGAGTAAAATAGTAGTGAGTACCTTTAGTAGGGATTTCATATTTTTAAATTTATAATTGCCAATGCTGCCATCTATATTTAATATCACAAATGTAAATTGTTTCTGTTGTATATGAATGAATGGCTCGTTAATGGAACAAGTTAGAAGTGAATAGTATCATCCCCTCCCCTCTTATCTTCAGTTATTCAACGAATCAGTTTGCAAATTGCATCCAATTGATGTATAGTGTAACCTTTATGTAGTGAACTTCATGGTTTATTATATAAAGTTCATATTTCATTACTTTATTGGTAATTAAGCCGTATATGTCTATGGGTATTGAAATGAGGACTTTATTTTGATATTTATAAAGAGAAAGTCGATTATGTATTGAAAATTCCACCTTAAGGTACATGTTAATAGAGCTCACGTTACACGTTTCGTTGTGAGTTAAATAGTTTTTTTTTTTTTTTTGCACTGTATAACAATTTTCACTTTATACAAAGGTATAGTTAATGATCTTCCAAGCTTTAAACGTAATTTCTTGGTTGTAAATTTTATTACACATTAAAAATATTGTATTGAACACGCTTTGTTTTTTTTTTTCAATGTTTATAATTTGCATTTTTTTGTTGTATGCCTGTTATTTTGTGTGTGAGTTGTTGTTTTTTTTTTTTTGGTAAGTATTATTTAAATATTCTTTATTTCGCTTGTTAATGTGACTTTGCTTGCTTTAAAACGATCGATCTTTAATTTATTCTTTCAAAAGTTTAGTAAAATTTGAACAATATGCACTTACGTCTTTTTTAATCTGAAACCGATATCACTAAAAATTAATAAAATTTGAAACGTTATAGCATCACAACTTTATAGCGCACATACACTGGTCGATGTCATCCGTGTGCGACGTGCGAGCGATTTCTGTGGTTCGATTTCATTGGTCGGTCATAGTTTTATTTTCCAATTAGCTGAACCGGTAATCGTCACCCGCGTGGACATCGTTGACCAGTATGATTTGCCTTTAATGATAAAAGTTCCCATTTTGAAATTTTTTAATTATGTCCATTTTGATTAAGCGTCCGTAAAACTGGTGAAATATAGCTTAGCGAGTATTACGTTGAAAATTATGGCAATTCTGTTGCGGTTGCGCTAACCTAAAATAAAATATTTTTTGGTTGAGATTTATATGTAAATTATAATAAAGGATAATAAGTTTTCTACGGTTGTCTTAGATGTTTACAAAATTAAGAACGCAGTTTGACAATATTTAAACTAAATTAAGTCTAGTTAATGCCAACAGAATCGCCACCAATGTCAGAGTTACGATTACTGTAATTTCTACTTTAAATACATAAATTCGGGTCTGGCTATTGTACTGATACGAGTGTTCCCGATTTTAATTAGTGAAATCAGGATTACCTTTGATTTTTTTTTTTTTATACACGCCATCGTCGATGCGTCAATGGCCCCGCCCCCCTGGCTTAATAATAAAGTAAACAGGCTATATTAAAAAGTCACAATGGTACCAAAACTCTGGAACTAAAAATACAGTGATTGGGGATCTGATTTCTTTGTGCTTGCGGGTTTTACGTGAAATTTGATATCTCTTCTATTTATAAATCGAATGGTATGTTACAGCTGGGCGTGTCACACGGCAGTGACGTGCGTATGCGCAGGGCGGAGTTGGAGGCGTTGCTAGTGGCGAGTGGCGCACATCATGACGTCAGAGCTGTCGACAATCAATACAGCTTCGTGTAACATACGCCATTCTACTGTGGAACGAGGTTTGTTTGTTGTTCGAATTATATTGAGCCTGTATTTGTATGAGACAAAGTAAACTTTGCACTAGACCAGTGTTTCTAAACCTCTTGGGCTTTATGAGTTTTGCAGTCTTATTTAGGGACCATATAGTTTTTTTTTAATTAATACAATAATTTACAATTAATATTAAAATTTTATGAACTATCTTTTTTTTTTACAAAATTAGTAGACTTCTAAGTAGTATGATGAATTGTGATTCTAAGTTTGCGCATATTAGAACTACCAATCCTGACGACGGAAATAATGATAATAAGCCTTATTTCAACAACATCAATTTACTCAAGATGTCAATAAAAACTACATGAGATATTGAAAAAAAACAGCACCAACTCTCACATTAATGCGATTTTTTTTTCTGTAAAGGCCTTTTTTAAAATTTGCTTGTTGAAATACTGCTTGGTTTTCCTCAGGGCCCATTGACTGAGAAAGGTTCAGAACCGCTGGGCTAGACATATAATGACCGACCACTAAACAATGATATGAAAAAGAGTACCAAACTAATATCAGCTCCATAGTAGATGAAAATTTATCAAAATAGTTATATGTTAGTTCAGTAATATTTATTAATGGTTTAAATAACACTTTAACGACGATTCCGGGAAGTGACATATTGCTTAGCGTAGTATGATGAAACTAGCTGTTCGTTTCGAATTTCGCCAGCGACAACCGTTTTTGAATAACGACAAATGCACATCAATTGGTACCGTCAACGAAAAAATAATAACTGTATTTTTATCAAATAATATTTGTAACAGTTAAAGTCCAGTTGGAGTTAATATTATTTTCGTTGGTTCTAATATAATAAACAAAAAGCGATAATAGCGAACAGCACGAATAGATAACGTTGCTAACGGTACTCAGAGGTCTGCCTAGACGTGCGCTGCGGGGAAGTGGGGAGAGTGGGAGTGGTCAACTCGAACCGGACGGCTTATTTGACAAACTACGCAGATTAAACTAAGTAGGATGACGACTTATAAAAAATAGACTTGTTACATATTCTCTGAAATAAAAACAAAATAGTTTTTTTTATTAGCTAGTAAGAATGAGACAAAAAAAGTACATTTTTAAGCGTATATTAAAGTTGAAAGTTTGATGTACTTCTGTTATTTGAATTATCAGTTTTTATTTTATGTTCAGAAATATTATTTATAGTGTGTATTATTTAGTTTTCTTTACATTATTTGTACGCAGCACATCAAGTTACGATTTTGTAACTTATTTTTTATCACAGAAAGATTTAAATGGGTAAAAGTGAACTTAACAGTACTGTATAACCTGATGTGCTGTTTACGAACAGTCGACAGTAAATCAGGTGACTATGAAAGATTTCTCCGATCGATTTGAAGCGTTAACGTGTTCGTTGGTAGTTCATTTCGAATTTTCTTGGATCTTTTATAGTAATTTAATGTGATGATGTGTATATATAAATACTCATTTGAAACGACAGCTTCAGTGAAGTTATTTTTTACAAATATGTAGTACCTTTTTTTTTAAATTCAGGAAAAATATGTTACAGAATATTTATTTTTAATTTAGATAATGTGAAACATAATCTATAAACGGCGACCTACTCAGTATTTAGCTAAATTGAAATGTTGCAATGTTTGTTTGTGCAATAAGTGCGGTGTGTTATTTATTATAGAAATAAGTTTGTATTTAGGTATTAAAAAACGCTCTCGAGGCTTAGCCAAATTACTGTTCTATAATGCTGTTTCATTATAGAAATTTTGCGTGTGTAAACTGTTTGTTGTATGGATATTTATAGGTAATAAGGTCTTACTTAAGGTCTTACTATAACATTTCTCAATGTAATGAGGAGGTATATTAAATAAAACAGTTTTCTAAATCAGTCGATAGCATTGATTAAATTATATATGAAACACGTTGTGATTATCTGTTGGATCTAATAATATTAAATGGAATTTTGAGAATGAAAGAGGTTATATTATACTTACATGGCAGGGCTCCCAAACCGGTAATTAACTTATTATTTGAATTTTAACTTTAAAGCGTATGTCATCAATATAAAAAAGCCAATGGTGGGCTGTCAATACCAAGCTATTAGGTAATAGAATCTTAACTACTTTTTTTTGCCATTATAATATATCTACCTGAGTCCAATACCTATGATTCGTGAAGTTTTCCTCACAAAACAATGGTGACAGATATATAAATGCCGCTTGGTCCATATAAACTTAACACCCCTATTTCACTGGAATTTCCAAAATTCCTTTCTCAGTGCTCATTTACGTTATATAAACAACCTATACCAAAATTTTAGGCTTCTAGGTTCAGCCGTTTGGGCTGTGCGTTGATCTCTGGGTATCTCGGTCACGTACCTCTTTTTTGTATGTATCCTCTTTTGTATACATAGATTGGACTTCAGGTAGAGAGTGTGATATCTGGTTAGTGCGCTGGCCGCCGCCAGATGTAACGAAATTTCATTACAGAGTACAGTTTAAATGTGCTTTGACTATTATCCGGCGTCATAGGGTTCAAACGCGTTTTATTAATAGCTAAGCATATAAGATTTTTTCCTGTATTCTATAGGAACGGAAACTACCTATAACAGATAGGAGGTAGTGATAGGAGTTGAAGGAAAAGAAAGGGCTCAAAGTAAGGGAACAATATAATAATAAAATAATTAAAATATATACAAAATAAAATATGCGGTTAACTTACGTGATCACAGAAAGAACAAAGAGCAAAGGAAAAAAAGAGAATAAAATGTCAACAAAAAAATATACTTCTAAAAATAACTCCTCGGCCTGCTGGCCAGTTCGTAACATCTCTCCCACTCTTTCAACAGTAACGGATTAAGAGAGGAAGATGGACACCACAAAATGCCATCAGACCGGAAGCCGCACCAGCTTTTTACAAGGCCGGCGAAGAAAACCCGCCGCCGTGGAGACCTCGGCTACTCGAACGATACCATCGGCGCCCGGGAATATTCGTGATACGCGTCCGCGTGGCCAAGTACCACGCAGCAGGTTGCCGTCAACAATGAGCACGAGGTCGCCAACTGTAAGAGGGGGGCTTTCTTTGCTGGAGCCGCGTCGCGGTACTAGGGTGGTGAGGTATTCCCGTACCCAACGTTGCCAAAATATATCCGATAGTCGCACCACTTTTCGCCATAACGCACGCCCGTAGAGATCTTGTGGAACGGATGCTGCATAATTGTTGGCAACAGATGACGTTCCTATCAAAAAATGGAAAGGAGTCAGCGCTTCCGGTTCTTCGGGTTGAGAAGAAACATGGGTTAGTGGCCTGGCGTTGATCAGAGCTTCGGCCTCTGCCAAAAGTGTGACGAAAACAGGTTCTTTGGGGGCTCTCTCTTGTAACGTCACCTTTAGTGCGGTTTTTACAGAGCGCACTAGTCGCTCCCATGCTCCACCCATGAACGGTGCCGAAGGGGGTATAAAACGCCACTCGATGTTAAGGTTTGTGGCACTTTCTTCAACCTCTGGTCCATATAGCTGGCGTAGGAACTTAGTCGCTCCGACGAAGGCAGTCCCGTTGTCTGACCATATCTGGCTTGGAATCCCGCATCGAGACACGAATCGGCGCAACGCCATCAAAGCCGCATCCGTGGATAAATCGTGAACTACTTCCAAATGTACAGCACGAGACGTGAGGCAGGTAAACAAGGCGACGTAGCGCTTCTCGTGCCGTCTTCCAATGGTTACAAGGATAGGACCGAAGTAATCTAAACCGACAAATGAAAAGGGGCGGCGATGATGACCCAGACGGGCTTCCGGAAAATTTCCTAGTGGAGGATTCAGGGGTTGAGCTCGTTGAATTTTGCACAGCTGACAGTCATGCGCAACGGATCTTACGGCGTTTCTGAGGCTGATAATCCAAAACTTCTGTCGGAGCTCGTTCACGATTGTTTCGTTATTGGCGTGAGCGAAACGTTGATGAAAATGTTGAATTAAAAGTTTCTCGGAGTGATGGCTGGCATCCAGAACAATAGGGTTGTTGCAAACGTCCACAGTATTCGTAATTACTCCTATACGACCAGACAGGGTAATTAGACCATCATGGTTGAGTTTTACGTCAATCTTCGAAAGTCTACTTGACCGTGGTAAAGATTCGCCAAGACGTAGTGCTGCCAACTCTTCCGGGAATGAGTCTTCCTGAGCCCGAAGTAAGATATGAGTTTGTGCGGTACGTAAATCTTCTACTGATAATGGGAAAAGCTGGGCGGCTGATGAAGAGGTTTGTAGAGGAGTGTGAGAAATAGAAGCGCTTACTCTAGCTACACTTCCCAAACGCCTTAAAATTTTAACAGCGCTATGCACGCGGGCAGTAGCGCGAACCAAACGAAGCCATTGGCTAAAGCGGGTTGCGTCCGCGGAAACAGACTTAAGAATAAAAGAGGATGAGCATGAGCTATTTACATCAATGAGATATGAACGAAAACAAACTTTAGCGCTTGGTTTTAGCTCGGTGGTATCAATATCGGAGCGACAGACTTCAGCTGGCCAGTCGCTGCAAGGGGATTTTATGAATTCTGGGCCTATGATCCAACGACTGTCAACTAGAGTGGATTCCGAATTTATACGAGTGGCGTCGTCAGCCACATTTAAAATAGAAGGAACCCAATGCCATTCACTTAAAGAGGATAACTCCAAGATATCAGCGAGACGATGTGCGACAAAAGGTAGATAAGATCGTGCGTCACTCTTAAGCCAACCCAACACGTTCTTAGAATCAGTCCAAAAGTGACGACGAGTCGGTTTATATTTGTGAGCAGCACATATTGACGACGCCAACCGAGCTGCAATCAGAGCAGCTTGTAGTTCAAGCCGCGAAATAGTAACAGGACTTAGGGGCGCTACCCTTGCCTTGCTGGAAATAAAAGAAAGCTGCACCTGTCCATCCGAGTAAGTGAGACGCCAGTAAGCCATCGCCGCGTAAGCGTGCTCACTGGCGTCACAAAACACGTGCAATTCTCTTTCTATTGGATGTTCTGTGCCGCGTGAGTGCCACCGTGGAACCCTTAGTTCGATAGCGGAAGACATGTCTGTAAACCAAGATTTCCATTGCGCAAGCAAGTCGGAGGGAAGCGCCTCATCCCATTCAATTTTGCGACGCCATAATAATTGAAAGATGATTCTACCTCTAATGGTGATAGGAGCGAGCATACCAAGAGGATCAAATACACGCATTAAACTAGAAAGCACATGACGTTTTGTGATTTTGTTCGGCAAAGCGAGCGTAGACTTAAAAGATTCAGCATTAAAGGCAAGCTTGTCGGAAAAAGGGTACCAAATGAGGCCCAAGGTACGCACGCTTTGCTGAAAGTTAAC